CAATACTTACTAATGTTAAATTTATAAAATTAACCACCAATTGACAATTATAAATTTTATTGGATATAACAAACAGTTGAACTGAATAAAACATAGTCGTATATCTTTTTCTTTCTTTCTTTTTTTCAAAACTTTTCACATGCCTATCTGAAAAGCACATATATATTGTTTTTATTCAGTGGAATGTACTAAATTGGTTCAATAAATCTGATGAAAAGTAATCTGATATTACAAGTTAATAAATATTGAAATTCACATAGTGTTACTATTAAAACTTATATCACTAATATGATCTTATTATTCACTTTAATAGTGGTTAATCAATAAATTCGTACTATTTTACCCATACTTGTGAGAGAGAGAGAGAGAGAGAGAAGAAAAAACCTATCTTTATCACTATCACATCAGATGAATCGATACAATAAAATATTACTTATACATACTGTAATCGAGTTTTAGAATTAAAGAGAATTGTTCGCTTCACGATACCTTCAATTTTAATAGTTTTTTCTATGGGCTAGTCTACTTAAGTTGGGCTAATTAAGTATGTATACTCATTTGATAAGCCACTATTTAGTAATTAAAATAGTTTTCAACTATCTTGTTGTAAACTTAATCTTTGTATCACCATTTTAAGTTTTGAAATCCGGATGATATCACTAGTCTTTAACAAAAACAACTAGATTTTTTTCTTTCCTTCTGGGCCTTTTTTTGTTAACAGTCTATGAACGAAATATAAGTCTATGATTATTGTTCACCGATTTATTGTATGAAGTCAATTCATATGGCGGTGGTAACTATTCGAACATGAAGATTAATATTCAATCACTACGATGAAATTTTCTCATATTCATTAAAAAGTTATTGGCTCCTATCAACTTAGTTTTCCAAAACTGAAAAAACCGTGCTTATTGATTACAGTTCTACTTGTACTCTAGTTATATAGTGATTTTCTTAAATTGTTAACATGGTACTACATATATCTTACTTATTTAAATACAACTTGACCTGATTATTTCTTTGCGTAATTGTCAGTCATAAAAACTGATAATCATTTAAGTTTTCTATTTTTAGCTAATCACTAACCACTTGTAGTTATTTCTATTCTTTATTCTATATTCAAAGAATAAGTAATAAATTTTAAAATAATACGTATTATTTAATCAGTTATTCAAGCGTGTAATTAAAAACTGTAGTAGTAGAAAACGTTTACAACCAATGATATTTCGATGACGTTAGGTTGAATTAGAACATTTTATTGGTGAAATAATAATATTTTATTGAACGATTTGGTTTAACTGACTCAAATGATCAATAAAGGGGAAATCAAAACCATTGAATTCTGACTGATTACTTGAATTGTATCATAGTGATCAAGATACTAGGAGGTTCTTGTTTTTTGTTCGTGTTGACATTTTAGATGCTCATTATTAAAAAGTTAATGTAATTTAAGACTAGAATATATTCAGGGTTAATCTTTTTCATAAGGTAATGAAAATAGTAATTGATGTGAGGGAAGAATCATCATTTCAGCATTAAAAGGATCTATCTAAAAGTAATGCATCTATGATCTGTGATGGGAAAGTGATTACTTACTTTTTACTGTTAAATTATTTAAATATGGAATTTTTGAGAAGAAATAAAGAAGTTTCATATCAATTTTAAATTGATTACGTATTTGATATGGTCTTATGTTATTGATGCTTTGTAATTCTGCATTATAGATAAATGGAGAGAGAGAAAATAGCTTCGATAGAGCTATGCACTTACTAATCACATATCCCCTGATCCTTTGATAAATATAAATAAAGCAAGAATAACAAGATTATCGAAAAAAATCACGATTTCATTATATTTCACAGTTTTATATAGGCTGTAAATGGCCGACTTGTATTACTAGTTACATCATTTATATTACTATAATCAAAGTTTTACACAGCCAATGACTTTTACAAGTTGAAATCATGAGTCAGTTGAAGCTAGACCACCATTGAAAACCTGGAAGCACTGGACGGCCGTTTCGTCCTAGTATGGGACTCCTCAGCAGTGCGCATCCACGACCCCGCACCACCCGGGGCTCGAACCCAGGAGCTACTGGCTTCGCGCGCGAGCACTTAACCATTAGACCACTGAGCCGGCATCCAACGGTGTTAATGTCTAACTTCAACCAATCCACGAAGTTGCGCTACCGTACACCATTGTCCTCAGTGAGTTCCTATCTCACAACAGACCTGGTTGAACTCCACTGGTAACGACTTCTCACTAGAACTCCAGAAGTGTCTCCTGAAGTCAGTCACTAGTGAGCAGGTGATTATTATTATCAGAATGGGTTTTTGTGGAGATTTTAGAAATTTCACAAGTTGAAATCAAGTTAGAAAGTCACAGTGAAAAACATAAGTAACAACATATTTAACATAACAGTCAAGTTTCGTTGAGATAACAGTGGAATTATTTTTCTGTATCGAAGATAAAGCGATTGAGTGAATAACAAACCCCTTGTAACAACATAATAATTTTACCATGGTAACAAGAGGTTAACCACACTTCCACTTTATATCTAAAGGTCAAGCCGTAATTCCACTGACATTGACTCGTGACATTAAATTACAGTGTTATTCTTATATTAACTGGGTGATTTAACTAACACGCATTTGTTACAAACTTTTTTTATTTTACTATTTGTGACATCACGCACTTCTTTAAACGACTTCATGTTCAACTGTTAATCTGTCTGAATGATTATGTTAAATATGTTGTTACTTATGTTTTTCTCTATGACATTTCTAACTAAACATTATTGATTAAGGTGTATAAAATTGTATTTCTAATATTATAACTAATGTAACTAGTAGTATAACTAGCTCATTTACAGCTGATGTGAAACTTTGAAATTTACTAATCACTTTAAAATTCCATTATAATGTAAGAGAATGTTAAATCAGTTGAAGTGGTAAATAATGTATTTCTTTTAAAGTAGGAATAAACTGAAGGTCAATAATTCTGGGAATCATTGATATTCATTTTACTATTTACGATGTATATAACACAGAATTTATGTTTGAACTCATAAGTTACCAAACTTTTCACCTTTCGGAGGTTACTTATCCTTATTTCTTTCATGTCATTTCCTTGAGATTCAATCTGTTTGAGTTCCATGTATATCTTTGGAATGTTGTAAATTTAAACATTATTTTGTGCAAAATAGCATTTATTAAATAAATTATGATTATAATAAATCCATTCTACCTATGTATTTGTTTTATGAATTCATAAGGTTGAATTAAACATATTGGTTGAATAGCACCAATCAAGTCAAATTGATCATTTGAATAATTTGTTTTAAATAAAAGATTAATATCAGAATGGGTTTCGTGGAGATTTTTAGAAATTTCACTGGTTGAAATTATGAGTCAATTGAAGCTAGACCACCATGGAAAACCTGAAGGCACTGGACGGCCGTTTCATCCTAGTATGGGTGGTCTAGCTTCAATTGACTTATGATTTCAATCAGTAAAAGATTAATAATTAACGATTACGTAATTTTATTTTTCAATACATATATCATTAGTACTCATTGTATTCGTGTGATAAATAATGCTAATTACTATATTAGGTGAACATTAAATATTTTGTCAATATAGTAAGTTTGAAACGTTTCACAAAATGAATAAACTACTGCCGTTTTTCACGTATATATTTTTTTAACTATTTGAATTCAATTTAAGTTGTATTGAGAATGAAGCTCATATTTACCAATATTATGCTTTATCTACTAGTTTAATCGACTTATATGGACTGTAGTGCAGGTATACAATCAAAACTTATATTAAAATAGTATACACTACTAAAAAGAATAATGAGTTATGTAAGCTCTTAGTTAAGACATTAATTCAATGAATAAACAAACAAACATTTACAAATCTATCGTATAGCTTTATTTCTTTTCTAAAATAAGATTCTTATATGATTGTGGTTTTATCAAAACTAACTTTTGATTAACATGAAACAAACATAAACAGTATAACAGTTTATTATATATGCATATAGTTGCTACATTCCAATGAGTAGAATACTTGTCTTTCTGATGTTTCGTGACTTAATGTAATCCACTTCTTCACAGTAAATAAATAACCGAATTCAATTAATACAAGTTTAGATAGTACAATGAAGTAATATAGAAACAGTTTTATCTATTGAATTAATCAACTAATTGAATTATTATCATACTGATCATGAAAAATATTACACGTATGCAGTGGATAACACTTATTTCTCAATTATTATTGTGTTTTTTTTCGTTTTATAATAACCATATATTCTGTCCAGTTTGATTAGTCATCCCTTTTCAGTAATATTGATATTAGTCGAATTATATGTTTACATATATGCTGTCTCAATTGTTGTTTACTTTTTAATTTGTTGCTTTACCTTTGCCGATATAATAGAATTATATTTCTTCTTTGTATAACATTTAGTTGAATTATAGTTTTGCTAATGTTGCTCCTACTGTTGTTGATGTTATTTGTATATTCTAATTTAAAGAGTCATTTATGTGTTTGCTTATTTATTAAGTATCAATCACAGCTTGATATATATATACGTAAATAGGAGTGTTGAAAATTCAGAAAAACTAGTAGATTCATTGCTTTCCTTTTTACTTCTTCTCTTCCTAGTGCGTAATAGGTTCACGTGAATGCTTCACTCTGTAAAAATTCGTCAATGTGTAGGTGTGCTCGCAGAAACCTAGATAAATAAACAAATAAATATAAACACATACGTATATTATACTCTCTTCTTCATTTGACTTGTCCTCGATTCTCTCTTTTACTACACATTCTTTAATTACAATGATAATAGTAGTAATTATTGTTATATTAAGTTCGGTTTTTATTTCTGTTATGCAGCAATTATACGTTTCTTTCGGTTTTCCTTCATATGCTGATCGTTACTGGATTGTTCATTCGTTTACAGTTTTCTTCTTTTATTTTCTCATATTTTAGGAAAATGTTTATCGGTGGCCTCAGTCCTACTACAACCTCTGGTAAGTTGAGTCTTTGTACAGCTAATACCGGGTATCTATTATGCATTTGTTTGTATTTATTTGCAATGTAAAGGTATCTGGTTCTTCTCGTCTCCATTCTCCCTTTATTTCTTAGACCAAAATTTTGTTATGGTTTTCACTTTTTTTGCCGTTATTGTCATTGTTAAAGAAATCCTATTGTCAACCAATGCTTCTTTACTTTTCATATCTTATATTCTTTCATATGCATGTTCATATTCTCATCAGCATAATGTCGTAGCAAACCAAGGTAAATAAAAAACTTACATACATTTGTTGCAAAGTAATCTGTTTTTAAATATATAGATCTACACTGTAGTTTTCCTTAATTCTTAGATGTGAGTCTTACATAGGCTGCAAAAAAGAGTAGGATGTAGCGAAAATACTGATAGTGAAATCAGTATTCTGATGAAGTTAAGTTAATTCTGATATGAAGGATCCAATAATCGTTATAACTGGAAGCAAATATATAGCTTGGGAAAAACAATTTTAATCTCCCGGTTTCAAATTAATGACAACTTTTAATCCATCACTCAATATGCGAATGTAAGACCACTTTTCTGTATGAATTTATAATGTGGTGTGTGCTACTTATATTGACATAAGTAGTACATGATGTTAGTCGTGAACAGAAGGTCTGGCAGCAGAGAGACAAGAGGATCAAACAGTAAAGAATGGAAACAGAATGCAATTTTTAAGAAAATGCCAGAACAATGAAGTCTGAGTTATTTCGAGACAACTGATGAATATTTTGCAAATTAAGCATTTACTTTATGATTGTTAGATGTTATTAAGAAGTCTTGTAATTTTGTGTCAAATACATCCGATTGTCCGCGCTGGTGTTCGTGTTCACTACGATAACAAATGTAAAGTGATAAATTTTGGTCTAGAAATTATTCATCCCCCATGGAAGAATTACACTGATTCGTTCTCCGAGTTACGAGAATGAATATCTCGCAAATACGAACAAGAATAAAATGCTTTTATAAGTTCATAAATAAAATAATTATAGCTGTACATTTTGAAAATATACTTTCACTTTACATACATGTAAAAACATCACACTGATAATGGTAATCCATCAGCATAATCTATTGTGTAGATTAATGTTGAACTGTTTTAGGTTACTGAGTGCAATTTTGATCTCATTGGTTCAGCTGCATTCGTTCTTTATCTTTGTTCAAATCTTGAGTTAAAAGTCATTCTTAATTCTTTTATTCTACTTGTTTCATTTGAGCTATTCATTTTAAGAGTTCACTTCGACTACCGCTAAAAATCAGGATGCACTAGACATCTATTTCACTCTAGTATAGGACACTTCAGAAATAAACAACCACAACATGACTAAGGATCGAACCCATCAACTTAAGTAATAATAATCTTCATTTTTGTTTTCTCGCCTTAATATTTCTAATCACTATTATTCTATTTTAGTAGCAGTTACCTAGATGTTATTATTGACTTCATTATCTTGTCTATAGTGTCATGAGATGCAAAATATTGTTTATACTCAGTATTTTGTTTCTCTTAACGGGAACATATAAGGATATGGAAATTATTTAGTAGTTGAAATTGATATAAACATGTATTCATGAGATTGTAATTTGCACCATAAGTATCCACTGGTAAGCTTCATTAAAGGTATGGTCATATAATTAGCTTTTTCAGTCAGATATTAGAGATCCTACCCATTTCTGACGATCGATCTGAACCAAACAAATGATACAGTTCTATTTTACGATGTTGAGCTGGTGTATAATCTCTGAACGTTTTACAGCGGAATAATTAAAATATAAACTTATTATGTATCCGTCAACTTTAAAAAGATTTTCTGCTCACCTCTAACACTGAAGATAAAATGATTAAAATCGTCAATTATTTAAATTTCTGCTTTGAGTCGTATACATCCTGACAGGGGTTTAGAAGAAACACTTGGTACCCGGTTCTACCAACGTCCACGAGGAGATATTAAGTTACATATCAGGGATATCTATAAATATCCAAAAGAGCACGTCTTGTTTGAAACACTTGAAAGTAATCCATGCTAATTTCTAATGTTGAGTAGTATTTTAACATTCAAAATTATTTCTTATTAAAAAAACTTTTTTTGATCCTTAATGAATTCGAGTGATCATTTAATTACTTTTAACAACTATTTATGAACTATAAATTACCATTTAAAAATGTTTTACAGTTGAATTTTTCAAAATTCCATATTTACTTCTCTGCTCACTAGTGACAGACTTCAAGAGGCATTTCCTGGAGTTCTAGTGAGAACCAGTGACTAGTGGGGTTCAACCATGTTTGTTGTGAGATATCAACTCACTGATGACAGTGGTGTATGTGTCGTTCAATTTCGTGGGTTAGTTGAAGTTAGACATTAACACCATTGGATACCGGCTGGCCCAGTGGTCTAGTGGTTAGGTGCTCGCGCGAGGCTGATTGGTCTTGGGTTCGAATCCCCCGAGGCGGGATCATGGAAAGGTACTACTGAGGAGTTCCATAATAGGACGAAATGGTAGTCCGTTGCTTCCAAGTTTTCCATGGTGGTCTAGCTTCAACTGACTCATGATTTCAACTATTGAAATTATTAAAATCTCCACAAAACCCCTTCCGATAATAAAACAATAATAAACTATTTTCCCATCATTTACTGCTAAGTAAGATGACTAATATTGGAAGACAAAACTATATCTGTCTAATAATTTTTCATCTTACTTATTTTGTTTGGTAACTTTAAAACTGTCTGTTAAATGTCAAAAGTTCATCATTATCACTATCATGGTGATTTTGTTGTTGTTGATAAAGATAATTTGTTTATTCAAAGACATTGAAAGATTTATTGGACATTCTATACTATTTATGAATATATTACTTCTAATTATACAATGAAAGAAAACATACAAGAAATCAAAAAGTAGGTAGTAAAATTTATTTTAATTTCACTAAAGACTTTTGCTAGTGTTGGGCTCACTTAACTGAAAAACTTAACTGAGAAATTTTAATTGTCATTCTGTACAAAATCTTCAGCATTGATTTATCTAAAGTAGACTTTGATGATGTCATTTATAATAACTATGAAAAGCCTTATAGCTAGACGTTTTTAATTCAGTGACCGTAAATGCATCGATATTCTTAAACATGATTTTATTTAACTATTCATTATTTCAAATATCTCATGACACATAACAACGTAATTCTTTGATAGAATCTTTGTACACAAATAAACTTTAATGATACATTTGAACACCAAGTATACTTTTAATCAACAATACACATTTTTTTAAATTATTTTACTTTGTAGAGGGTTTACGGGACTATTTTCAAAAATATGGTGAGCTTAGGGAATATATGATTATGCGTGATCCTCTTACAAAAAGATCAAGGTAAAAGACAGTGTAAACTATATTTATATCTTGCTTATTTGAATATTTATCTTTATACTTATCATGCATTTATGATTATATTACTAAAAGTGTATTTTAGCAGTCTTCAGGTACCCAAATAGATCAGTGAAAATGATCAGGAATGAATATACAGTAACTATATCTCAACATCTGTTATAGTATTATATTTTATTATGATCACAAGTCAATCTCAGTTAGATAGCCATTGAAAACCAACAAACTTTGAAATCTGACTTTTCAACCATTTCCTTATTTAGATAAATTTGAGCTATATAAAACATCACTTTTCAAACTAATTTTAAGTAACAGTTTTCATAACACAGAATGGAATAGAAACAAAATTTTGAAATAGGAAACATGAATTCTATTGATTAATCATAAAAAAACCTTTTTAAGTAAAACTATGAATAGTGATTCATTAACTTATTTATTTAATTTCCATTTCTTTTTTTTTTATAGAGGTTTTGGATTTATTACATTTTCCGATCCAATGTGTGTGGAAAAAGTTCTTGAAACAGCTCCACATATTTTGGACTATAAAAAGGTATTCTTTAACGTTTCTGATCAGTTTTTGTTTTGTCATTATAATAATTTTAGTGAGATAAATTATTATAACGTTTTATGATGTTCATTCTTAAGACAATGGATTTGTAAGCGGTTTCAGTCACTTGAAGACCAGATGTAAATATTGCAGCAAAGTATACCAGTTTCCATCCATCTTAAATGAGCATAAAATGTATGTACAGTAGACATCATTTTCATCAAATCACAGGTAATTGAGTATTATGTCGATCATAACTGACTGAAATAAATAGATCTAACAGTAATATCATTTTACGTTAACTTGCTTGCGATATCTTGTTGTGAACTACATACTCTAATTACTGTAAATATGATCATAAATATTTGCATGACGTGTTTAATGATGTTTGTTTGACAAATTGAATAAAGTCAGGAGATCATATTTGATAAATACTATTCTCCATAGTTCAATAGATAATCAGTTACCATTGACAAGATTCCTGATATTAAAATTGTAAGTATTAGTAATCTTGGAACATTTGTAACCAGTTATTTAATGCTTTTTTGGTTTGAAAGCCTTTCGAATGATTCTCTTTCTAATGTATTATATCTCTAGGTTAGATATGTCTCTTATGAGTCAGTTATGTTATATGTTTTTAGCAAACTTGCTACTACATTTCCAGAAATCCTAATATACTACTTAATTATTGTTTTAGCCACATTTTATAAGTGTCTATGTTGGAAAATGCTTCTGAATTTAACTTTATACATAAATTAATTAACTGACTAGTATTTGAATACGTTGGGATTAAAGATGATGTGATTGGATGTAACATTGTTATTCATAAACGTCTCACTCAAAGAGACTGGTGGAATATATAGGTGAACAACTGATTGAAAATGAAATTGAAACTATTGTTGCTATTAATGTCGTGAAAGAGTTCAAATACTAGTCTTTTAATATGATAGGGATCATTAAACAATTAATTAACTATTCATAGAAAGTCTAAGCAAATATTAAATATTACTGAATTAATCCAAGTAGCTAATTAACTTACATAATTCAGATTTTCTCCTTATCTTTTAAAGTTTCTCTTCAATAAATATAATATCTGACTAATGGTTTATTCTCCTTTTAAATGTAATTAATTAAGAAGAATTATTATTCAATGCACTATGTATATCATAAATTTTCTATATCATAAACTATCCAAACTATAAACTATGAAAAATATTTTTATTACTAAATTATTTAATTGTAATTTTTTTTTTACATTTATTTATGATTAATTTCTGTTTGTTGCTAAGGTAAAAATAAACCCCAACCGAAATGATCATATTATTTTAATTTGTTTATAATTTTAAATAAATAAAGTCTATACTCTATGGATAACTGTAAAATGGTATTATATTTCTGTCATATTAAGATGTATTATAGAATTATATATATATATATATATATATATATATATATATATATATATATATATATATATATATATATATATATATATTGACAAAATATGTGAATATTATAAACAAACAAAGTAGATTTTAGTGAAATTACACATTTTTTTTCTTGTTATGATTTAGACATAAGGATAAGATTTTGTATTTAGGGTTTCATACATAAATATTGATTATATAAGAGATTACTTCCTTGTTCATTATTATCTTTCTTTTAAATTCTTTTATTCCAATTACTTTGATTAATTATTTTAGTCAACATGATACTCAGTCAGTCAGGCAGTGTACAATGTAGAACTTCGTACGTACGTACATCAGTTTAAGTTGCCACACCATATTAGGACAGAGATGCAGCTGTCAATTTAAATCCCGTAGTGGTAGAGATAGTAAAAGTATATGCAATAATCGGAAAGATTAAGGATTGAAGATGTTATTCAAGGAATATAATACAGTGAAATATATTTGGAAAGAGATAAAAAGGGGACATGATGAATTCAAAAGATTAGAATTTGGGAGAACACAAAGAGTGGATGCACCTGCGCCATTGCAAACGATTTTGAGCCATGTCATTCAAGGTCTCTAACCATCGGTTGCTATCATCTCGCGGTCTCCAACCAGACAGTCTGCACCTACCAACATGGTTCAGTCCACTTGTCAGTGACTTCATGGATTTATGTCATGTTTTGGTCTGACCGCCCCTAGCTTTCTTCCAACTTACTCCTACATTATAAAACATCGCACTTCGAGGCAGTCGGTGGTTGGGCATACGTAACACGTGTCCCAGCCATCTCAACTGATGAAGTTTCATTACTTCATGATACTGCTAAATACTATTGTAATATATTTATAGTGAAATTCTGGAATGTGAAATATATATATTATTCAAGTAATGACTAAACAGGTCTCATTAAAAAATACTATGTTGATAAATGAAGTGTAGAGTTTATATGGTTCAAAGGAATATGAACTAAGGTTTATTACTAGTCGGGTTTCGTGAGAATAGTATATTCTGTCCTAAATTAGCTAACACCCTTTATATAACTTAAGATGGCTTCTGTTAGTATTGTGGTTAGTAATATTACCAGTGAGATATTTAGACAGCATATAAACTCTTGAAGGATTTCTTTTCATTCATTTAAATATTTTTGAATTATTATCTGAAATTTTAGATTGATCCAAAACTTGCTGTTCCTCGTAAATCTGGTCAAAATACAAAAGTGAGTTAAAATTTCTATCTTAAATATTAATTATTAGTATAATTTTAGTTTTAATCTGCTTACTTTCCAAGTATTTGTATATTTTTTGATTGAGATCCTGAACTGCTTGATGTTAGGCCACCATTAAAAGCCTGGGAGCACTGGACGGCAGTTTCGTCCCATTGTGGGACTCCTCAGCAGTGCGCATCTACGATCCCGCTCGCGGGATTCGAACCCAGGACCTTCAGCATCGCGCACGAACGGTTCATGATCTCAATCAAAAACTTAATGATTTTCACAATACTGATAATTATTATGTGCTCACTAGTGACTAGCTTTTTGAGGGTGTTCTCGGAGTTCTAGTGAGAAGCCATCACCAGTGAAGCTAATCCGTCCCAGGTATCTACCTCAGTACAATGGAAAATGGTTGCGAGATTTCGTGAGCCGGTTGATGTTAGACACTAACACCAGTGGATGCCAGCCCAGCGGTCCAGTAAGTTAAGCGTTCGCGCGCGAAACTTAAAGCCTTGAGTTCGAATCCCGCGAATGCGAACGTGAACGCACACTGCTGAGGAGTCCCACAATAGGACGAAACGACCGTCCAGTGCTCCCAGGTTTTCAATGGTGGTCTAACATCAATCGGTTCATGATCGCAATCAAAAGATTAATAATCTTCACAACTACTATACTGATATTTGTATATTATTTATTACTGGTTTTTTCATTAGCTTATACTTACTTTCATATGCATATGATTTTATATTTGACAATAAATAAAAACTTATCATTATAATATTCAATGATTGTTTATTGTTTATTTTTACTGGAAAAATATAGAATAAGTTTAATATGATAAATATTCGTATACTAAGTGATAGTAGACAACCAAATTATTACCTTATTATCATTATTCAAATAGAATTGTGTATCTGTTAATTTATTTAATTTGTATATTCTTTAAGTGATAGATAATTTATGTGTACTAAATCATCATTTATTTGTCAAAAGGTAAACTATAAAAGAAGTGCTGTTTTTTTTTTGGTTTTTTCTTTACTTTTAATATTAGAACAATAAAAAATGGGAAAAAATTAACTCTGTTTTTATGATTAGTAAAACTTAAACTAGATAATTATTTTTCTTTTTTAAAAAAAAAAGACGAAATACAAAACAGTAATTGTCATTCACTTAAGGTGACCTATTTATTCTTATCAGATTTCATCTGAATCTTGAAATTATTCTGAAATACTAAATTAACCTATGAATAAATCATGTGCAAATTGTATAGGAGTTCTATCTATCTTATACTTATATTCTTAAATACTTGTACATATATTTGCACTGAAAAATAAATGATACAGGTTATCTATCTAAGTAAGATTACGGATGAATCAATGTTAGACAACTATTGAAAGCCTAAAAGCATTGGACGACTGTTTTGTTCTAGTGTAGGACTCCCTAGCAATGGGCATCTATGATCTCTCACGCAGGATTCGAACCCAATACGTTTGGTCTTGCACACAAACATCCAACATCTGGACCACTGAGCTAATATTCAATGATGTTGATGTTTAACTTCGATCAACCTATGATATTGCATGACCGTCTTCTTAGGTTCAAATCCCGCGAGTGGGATCGTGATTGCGCATTGCTGACGAGTCCCACACTAACATGAAACGGCCGTCCAGTGTTTTCAATGATTTCCTAATATTGATTGATTCAAGATCTTAATAAAAACTTAACAATTTCTACAACCATATACTGTTAATTATTTATTTAAATCAAATTATATCGTGAAAAGTCTAACCACATGTTCTTTATTGATAGCAATTGAAAGTCTAGACTGTTTGTTCAATATTCATCAGCATTAATGAACTAATTTATGATAAAACTATGTACCTCATAAATTGCCTAACTTTTACTTGTTCACTTCTCACTTAATATAGAAAGAAGTAAATCTTTACTTGAACAATACTTTTTTCCAATATACGAATACCTTTAGTTTCATCTAACAAAAAACACAGATAGTTTTTTTCTTATCACAAGTTAAAAATATGATTTTTACCAGTTATTGAATTCTTACAATGAACATTACAACAACAAGGAGGTTTTTAATTTTAGGAAATGTTTCGTTACACTTAACCATTCTATCTAGAACATAATTTTAGTGTTAAGTAAATTGATTTAACTACAGTCCAGTGAATTTCTTCGTCCTCATTACGAGTTTAACTTAAATATTTGTCAGCCAAAATTCCATGATATCCTATTATCAGGATTAGTTACTGCTTCAGAAAATTATCAAATACTGTGCAGTAATTTACGGGCATGAGCATTTATTTCAAACACAAACAATAAAGTACTGAGCGATCACACAGCAATTCAAACAATAGGATTTACTTACCACTAAAATTTACGCACAGCATTAGTTGCTACCAAGTTATTTGTGTAATTGGTTTTGGTAATAGAATCATTTTCCGATTCAATGGTAATTGTAGCATTGATTCAATGAATATAATTTAAACATTGGAAATGAATTGTTGTTTTGAGCCTGATATTATTTTTATACAAATACAAGAATGACATTCGCGACATTTCCTGTAAATAACTTTAGCTGGAAAAAACCAAGTAAATTTTGTAAATCTGTAGAGAGATTTCGTCAAACACGAACTCATCAGGACTTCCAAGACAAGTGATGTGGTTGATGCGATTAACTACTTTACTCCTTACCATTATTTTAATAGTTGACTCAGTCCAGTATTTCAGTGAGGGAAAACATACCTCAAAAATGTTTGCTTTGTTCCTCAAAGGGATCAGAAAGCTCTATATCCTACCAGCACTCACTAAACCGAACTAAATCATCTGGGTATTCTTTGTTAACAAACATACATCCTGACAAGAGACCGATTCTTAGAAAGTTAACTGACGAGATCATTAATAGTTGGGGCAATAGATCGTTATGTGAAATCCTGACTCTATTTTTGTATAGTTTTAATCAGACTTTATGGAACGTATTGGGGATAGAACAGGTTTTACGTAAGGAATCACTCAACATTACAATATAAATGATGTTCAAAATATTAACCTTCGAAATCTAATTCTATAGTTGAATTTGTAAATTATCACACTTATATTTGATGATAATTGTTCCTGCTTATTGTTTCGAAGGTACTTAATTTACTAAACTAGTTATTTCCCAACAAATTCACGTAAATACATGTTTTTTCATACTGACATATTTTACCGATCACTAATTCGTTACTTATACTAATTATTGACTATTATGTAAATGCTATCTAACTATAACATTCACTTAGTTCTAATAAATATGTTGTGAAATTCACCTGTGGATAACCTAATTTTACGTTATAATGTATTTTACATTATGCATAAACTACCATAAAGTAAATGAATTACCGTGGGTAAATTGAAATGTTACTTAAAAAAGAGTTTAAAAAGATAATTTAATTAAATTTTCAGAAAAGGAATTATATAATTAGACTGTATGTCGTAGTGCACCTGATAGCAAAAACAATAAATTAAGTAACTGTATAGAGAATAGAGATTTAATAACCGAAACACTCAACTACGAATCATAAGGTTACGTATTCAAACCTTATACTAACTACTTGAGTTTGAATGGTCACAGTAAACTTCAGACAAACACTAAGTTTCTAAACCGAGACCAAAATGCCTTACACGAATCGTTCACAAATATCAGTATATGATACTCGCCTCCAAAACTCTAAACTTAACCTATATTGTATTTAGAAAGTAATGTTTTCGTGTTAATTCAATAGGCTTCAATTCAAAGTCTTACTGTGAACTAATGCCAACTACAGAATCAGCCAACACCAGAGATTATGAGATATTTGATTCATCCTAATTTAATAATCCAACATTGAAAATATATGAAGGGGGAGATGCTGACAGAAACATAATTATCAGAAGGCGTTTTGTGAAGATTTTGTAGTTGAATTCATAAGCCAGTTGAAGCTAGAACACCATGGGAAACCTGAAAGCACTGGATGACTGTTTCATCTTAGTATGGAACTCCTCAACAGTGCGTATCCACGATCCCACCCCTCGAGATTTGAACCCAGAACTTATCAGTTTTGCGCGCGAACGCATAACCTAACATAATTCATTGTTCTTCCTCTAATCTTCTCTTATATATATATAAACCATTTCATAAAAAGACTAGAACACAACCTATCTGGTTAGTTACAATGAACATTAACGTAGTAATAATAATATAATCTGATTACAATCGGAATAATATTAGTTTTTAACTAATCTTCATATCTTCTCAAGTTTATATTGGTCATCTATTGTCATTTCATAATTTCAAATTTAGACAAATACATTGTATATAGGGTGATACTCTTTAAGTTTATTCAAATTACATAACCCCATCTATCAGTCAAATATTTACATGTTGTATTTATGCTCAATTGAAACAAACATCCAATCATCTTTCATTTAGAAAAACGAAGTAAAGAATAACAATGAATAAGTAGTTTGAATCTATTTTATAAATCTGAACACCACCATCACCATCACCACCACCACCACCAACAACAAAAACTCATCAAATATTTTTATGATTCAAATCATCATTATTATTTGTTTAAGTTAATTTAGCACGAATCAAAAAGTCATTCTCTCGTCAATATATTTTTTTCTTATGATAATTAATTTTGACATATCAATTGAATAAACTATTAATTACTATGGTAACTTGATGACCCTACATAAACAATATGTAATAAATTAGTTATTAACTCATACTTTATAATTGTGAAACGTTTGTTGTGTTTGTTTGTTTTTTTTCATTTCGATTGACATTTCTGCTTTTATCTAAAGTTTTGTGATAATTTCAATTATTTCATTCATTAGTTTAATTGGTGATTGTCGTAGAAGTATCAAATTTTTTTTATTTATAAAAATACAATGTCAATGCTTTGTCTAGCTATATATATATACAAGTGAGATGTTGTTTTGTTTTGTTTTTAAGAATACAATATAAAATAATGTGACTAAAGAAATCCCAATTTATGATGGACAGAAAAAACAGATAATGATAGAATATAAAGATAAATAAATATTGTCAATGAATAAAATGGCGCCAGTTGTTAGTGTTCTAAGATGTAATTCATTTGAATCGGAATGACTATATTGTATTTAAAATATTAAAAAAAAGAGAACTTCTTCCAATGTTATTTAGAAAAGAATAGATAAACGAGTAATATTCATTGATGAATACAACATTCACAATTGAAAACTTCATGTAAAATATTTGAGTGGTTGAAATAGAAATAAAGAAGTGGAATTTTATTTTTTTTTTAAATGTTGTTTTACTCAGTTGTTTTAAGCTATAATTAATCGAATCATCTACTTTTGTTTAACAATGCTCCTAGTGGTTCATAGTTTTATTCTCTTAAATGCTTAACAGTATGGATGTGGAAGTTAGTTGTTTAAACTCTAAATAATTGAATCTTAGGTGATCTGTATAAAATAGACTGTAAGATAAACATTAATTAATCATGTAAAAATGATCTGTGAGAAGCCACTAGATTTCATATCTTTCAGACATCAGAAGTTCTAGTGGTATCAACTAAAACAAACAGGTTTTTGATTAACAAATCTGCAATTATCCGAATAATAAAGTCATGTAATTTATCTATCTGTTTTCATAATTTCACAATGTAAAATTTAATAATGTTTATTCCTGAACACTTGAACTATAAATTTGCCACTAATCCCATTTTTTTGTTTTCGAATTTCTGATATCATAACTTTATCTTGAATTATGTAATTTATCATCGAATATTATTCCTCATGTATATTATTACCCTTATTGATTTCATAATATCACTTGACATTCATTGTAAACTGAAACAAAACAAAAAAAACTATATTTCACACTATTCATATTAACATTTGCTAATATTGACATATTAACGTCATTTATCCGATGAAAATTATATTTAGCATCTAAAGAGTTTTAAGCATGTTACATTATCCATACTTATTTGATAGTAACCGGAACATATAATTACGTAATGATACAATCAGTAGTTTGTTACTTAAAAAAAAATTATTTATACCTTAAGTAAAGTTTTAGTATTATACAAGTTATTCTGCCGAAATATTTATAATACTTTAAAAAAAACATCCTTCATTAAATATATAGTTACACTTCACTGGAACAGTACTGTGACATTTACAAATAGATTAACAATTAAACTATTTCTAGTAATTTAAACGATAAATCTGGTCAGTTGTGTACAATATATATATATATATATATATATATATATATATATATATATATATAACTCAGTATTCTATTTTCAATATATCCCCCCCACAGCCAATTTATATTTATGTATGTTGACAAAGTAACTATTTCCACTAAAATGTTTAATTAGAAGGATTTATTCGAAGAGACGTGTTTACTAGATATTATGCTTAGAAACTGATTGAATGTATTCCAGTTTAAGTAAACAAAAAGAAGTGAATAAAGAATATCATAAAACTTTTAAATTCATGATTTGTATGTAAGAAAAAAAAAGAAACGTGTATTTATTTTGAACTTAGTTATTCCATTTAATCAGAATCACCTAGAGAAATATAATAACTTGGTGATTCTTCACGCATAAACTGAAAGTTATGTAAAGTGAACTTTAATGAATTGTAGTGATTTGAAAGTGAATTCAGAGATAATTAAAACAAAAAAAAACAAAAAGAAATCCTGAAATAAATAATAATTTGCTATTGATGGAGTTTTGTTCTCTGAGCTGGATAGTTTGGTTGTGGAGCTTTCATCGTTCCTCTGAACAATAGCATCAGCACAAACTTCAGATAGATAATTTACTAATAAATCTTTGGAGATATTATTTTGATTTCTAATATTTTTAGTGAATTTTTTATTATATCTTTATTGATGTATCTCCCTCAACACTCACTATGATATATATATGGGTATTTAAACAAAAACAAATGGTAATAGAATAGATTATATTAGTTTTGTTACTCAGGTTAATATTGCGTATTAAACAGTTCGTTCCCTTTTGTTTTCTCTTGGTATCATTTCTTTCTTGTTATATGTAGTGAATATTGTTTTAATCTAAGCCTAGACTTTACTATCTGTTTAATTTATATCATAGTCAAAATTATTCTACTAAGTCTGTTACTCCTCGTGGTAGAATAGGCGGCCAACTAGGATTTTTCAACGGAACCTGTCTTGTCCTCTTCATTCCAGTTGTACCTAAGCGCTATTCATTCTTTTCATATCTATTTCTTCGGCTTTCCTCTTTTCGTTTTTCCTTCATGATTTCAAGTTAGGGCTTGCCTTGTGATGCAGTTTGTTGATTTCCGTAATGTATGTCCTATCCACTTCCAACGTCTTTTCCTAATTTCCTCATCAGCTCAAAGCTAGTTTGTTTGCTGATAGTATTTAACAAACGGACATACAGTATCTTGCGTAGACAAATGTCTAAAAATACTTGTGCCTGATTGATTATGGTTGTAGTAGTTCTTCACGTTTCAGCTTTATGTAAAAGAACTGTCTTGACGTTCGTATTGAACATTCTGACTTTGATATTGGTTGACAGACAGTTGTTTTGAGTTCCTTGTGTTCTTCAATTGTAGGAATGCGACCCTCCCTTTGTCAATCCTTACTTTTACGCCTGCATTGGATCCTCCTTGTTCACCGACGATGCTGTCCAGGTACGTGAAAGATTCCACCTCTCCATCAAGTGTGATTGGGTTGGTGTTTTCCGTGTTGTATTTGAGGGTCTTACTTTTTCCTTTATGTATGTTGAGGCCAACTGATACAGATACTGCTGCTATACTGTTTGTTTTGACCTGAATTTTTTGGTGTGAATGGGTTAGAAGGGCTGGGTTATCTGCGAAGTTCAAACCTTTTGGTTCCTCCCTAGCTGTTCACTGTATTCTGTGCTTATGTCGTGTATGCTACTTATCTCTGTCAACGTAAGTAGTATGTAAGCAAAAGTTGAGTGGCTAACAGCAGAAGGCTAAGTAGATCGAATTCAAGTAAACAGAAAGCGAAATAGAAAGGAATTCTGAACAGGAAGAATCAAACAGAATGTAAAAGACAGTTGGTGGAAGATTTGCAAATGAAGCATTTAACGTATGGTTCTCATATTTTATGAAGATATTTTGTAATTTTGTATTATATAATAAATTGTTTGTCCCTCACCTGGGTGTTCGTCCACTACGCTTATCCTGAGTTGTGGTCTTCATAATCCAGTCAACCACCAGAAGCAAAGTGCTGAGAGTAAACAACCGTGTCTGACACCGGCTTTCACTTAAAATGCGTCTGTCAGCTGCCCTCCATGCACGAATTTGAAGTGTAGTCCGTCACATAAATTATGGATGATGTTGACGGTCTTCTCAACTACACCATAGTGTCGAAGGATGTTCCATAAAGCCATTCTACCTACATTGTCAAACTATATATCATAGTCGACATATAGTGACGATTTCCATCCAAGTGATTGCTCAACAACTATGTGTTGTGTCACGATTTGGTCTGTGCATAACTGATCCTTACGGAATCCGGCTTGTCGATCTCGAAGTTGAGCGTCTACTAAGTCGTTCGTCCGGTTCAGTCTCACTCTTCCGCTTCGCTACTCTCGATTCGTCTGATGACCATTCTGATGTCTTCGATCGTTCGTGGAGTGACATCTATAAGAAAGTCTGTGTGAACTGCTTCGATGTCCGATGGGTTCAGTGAAGCTGGTCTATTCAAGAGTTCTTCAAAGTTTTCTTCCGACCTGTTGTTTGTTCTTAAATCTCTGGGATTGGTTTGTCTTATTTGTTCTTGACTGGTCTCTCTGGTTTAATATATTTCCCTATCAGTTTCTTCGTTCTGGCTTACTATAATTTCTTCGTTGTATCATGTATTTGTCTCATAGTTCCTTTACTTCATTGCTAGTTATTCCACATATTTCTGCTTTTCTTCTCTAATATTTCTTTTCGCTCTTTTGTTTGATTCTGTGTATTTGGCGTGTGTCTCGGCTTTCTCTGCTGCCTTCTCGTTCTTTTCTTTCTTGAACCATTTACATGGTTTAGACTGAGATCCATTTCTTATGATGATGGTGCTTGCGGCCCAACACGTCGTTCCACTAGCTTCCATTTATGTGAGTAGATTTTATGAGGCTAGGATTTTGTTGCTTAGAGTTATCGTGAATTCGTTGAATTTGTCAGGATCTCGAAGTCTGCATTTAACCTTTGTAGTGCTGCTTCTACAGTTTTTCAGTGATTCATTAGCATCAGTTTCATCTTAACAACAACTAAGTAGTGATCTGAAGTTATGTTAGCTCCTTTCATGGTTCTCACGTCTTCCACTGACCTTGTGAATTTTTTTACTGATGCAAATATGATCTATCTGGTTTTACGCGGTGCGGTCCTATGAGACCCATGTAGCTTTGTGTATGCGTTTTTGTGGGAATATGGTTCAGTCTATAACCGATTTGCTGAATGTACATAAATTTGAAAATCTTTCGCCATTCACATTCCTTTCTCCTAGTCAGTCCATGTCGTCCCGTGATATTTTCATATTCAGTGTTGTCCGTTCCGACGTTGGGGTTCAAGTCTCCCATCATGATGGTCAGGTCGTTTCCTGGACATTTCTCTACGATAGATTGCAGTCCCTCATTAAACTAATCTTTATCGTCGTCGTCGCTACCACTGGTGCGTGTATAACAATGGATAACATCCATTGAAATCCACTGCTTCTTTGTTCCAAAGAATGCTTTGATGATTCTGAGTCCATGAGATTTCCATCGTATAAGTGCTTTTCGTACTTCTTTAACCTTATACAAACATCTCTTGTACATCATATTACTCAAATGCTTCGTTTTATAAGAATGACGAATTCGAGTAAGTCAATAAAGAGAATTTTGAACTAAATGAGCTTTTATCTGATCGTAAAGCAGAAAATTACCGATTTTGAAATGTTCAGGGAAATCTCAAACTCCCAATGAGGACACGTCTTCAGTATTGATTTGTATAGGACTTCAAAAGTTTTAACAGAATAATAAGTCCTAGACAAGCTCAAGTAAGGTAGTGTCAATAAGATTTAACTTAATAAATAGTCTTTTATCAATGACATGACAGTTTAAGTCTTACATCTAACAAGTTTCATGTAACTTTTGTTAACAGTGTCATAGTCCTTCAAAGTAATAGTCGTCCCTAGTTAAGGAACCTATATGAAATAAGTAGACCTTCATCGCTTTTTCGAACTAAACTAAAAGTGTTAGGCACGTAGGTTATTAATCCTGAAGGCATCTGATTATAAGAGGATGGAGATTTAAAAGACGCCAAGTGACTTGATGTAAATGCTCTATCAGAAGTTGAAGTATTTGATCAGTCTTTCGTAGATTATTAATCTTTGTATTCATATGCACTCCGCGAACTATTTATTATTTCTTTGATTATTCACTCAAATTTCATTTTATTTAGCTTAAAATTACCGGATGATACTAAGTACGGTAACCATTATTAAACAGTCAGCATAAACCTCTGGTAAATTATATTTCTTAATAATTATATTCATCAAGGTACAGGCATCTATAAATAACTTCATATTTGTCAGACAATTTACTTATTATCTGTATACAGTAGCTGATTGCATAACTTGTTTGCGTATGAAGTGATAAGTACCAGGATCGAATCTCGGAATAAGTAATTCTATCTGAGTCCCCAATTACACTGTATGTCCTAATCCGACTTTACTAAACCTTTAAATGCTTGAAATTCTTATTACATTACTTTTGGATAACAGTAGCTATGTCCAAAAAGCTGTGACTGTATTATTAATTTTAATGTAAATACTATATGAAATAATAGTACGCCTTTCGGTCAGACAAACACTGATTATTTCTTTATAGAATTTACGCAAGTTGTAACTCAATGGTCTAGAGAAAAACGGAAGTAGGGAATCAGGTGAAATATATTGATGCGGAATGAAGAGCTTGATTATAGTAAATTTACTAATAGAATTATTAGAAATTTAGCTTTCACTAGTTAAGCAAGTGAAAATGCTACACTTTTTATTTGATAAAATCTGTTCAACTATACAAAATGTGCGGCCGTTAATAGTTGACTGAAAACTTTATTCATTTCACGTCGGTTGGAGTATTTTTGTGGTTTCAATGACTCGTTGGATAAGTTATATAATGTTGCACTGGTTACTATTTTATTACTTCAACGGAGACATAAAATTTTTAGAATTTTTAGAAGTGGCCTAGTGATAACCAAAAACTTATTGAAACAGATTCCCATTCAAAACAATTTTATAAAGTTTGCCAGTTCAAGACCTTTAGTGTATAGCAACAGAAGAGTAGAATACTATTATAATTGGGTTAAAATTGAAGCTAGCATGTAAATTAGTAAAAAAGATGAATAAACAAATAATTAGTTATTCAGCATGCAAAATAAGTAGAGCCAATAAAATTGTTCAGTTAGAACCAATTTTTAAGTTATTTCATTTACGTACAACGTGACTTGGGATCGTAAAGGATACATAAGTTTCACTATCATGCTCTGCACGGAATATATCAACTGTCATGGATATCATGTGTCAGTTCTATTTCTTTCTTCAGTCAAATATTAAGTTAGTGAAAAGGACTGAGTAACATATGTTTCATCGCAGATCCATCACCTTACTAAATTACTTTTTTAACCTGAAAGTTTGACTCTTTAACACTGTTTTACGGCTTTAAATTAAACAATCCTTGCTACAAATTTGTTTATGAATTTATTATTCTATAGTTAAATGGATTGATTTTGTATTATATGTTAGGGATTGTTTAATTTTATCATCAGTACGTCAGTCAGTCAAATACAAAGTAGGACCACGCACCTATATACATCGCTACAAGTGGCCACACCTCGTCAGCACAACAAGAAGAACACCGAATTCATAGAAGTAGTTAATTCAATGGTAGTATATATATAAGAAAGATTGTGTAAAGGCATAATACAGTTCATAGAAAGAAAGGTATAAAATAATTTTATTATCACATTTTAAGGGAAGACAAATTGTGTATACACCTACACTAATGTGATCGATTTTGAGCCATGTCACCCAGAGTCTCCAACCATTGGTTACGTTAGTCACGTGGATGACAACAAAGTAGTCTGTATCTACATCATTACGTAGTAAAATTCTTTTTTTGTTCTAACATAAATTTTATTTGTAATTATAAACAAATATTCCTAAATGTTGAATATATTTATAGATATGTATATATTTACAGATGTTCAGCCATATTTTACAGACCAACTATGTTCTTTTCGAAGGTACTTTAATTTGAACAGCTGTGAATTCACAATATGTTGTATTTATTTATTTATTTTTTGTTGTTGAGATAATTCTAAAATAGCCAACTAACTAATCAGACAATCGTACAATTTACATTGTAAACGCTTATGTATAGAATTCATAATTTGTCCAGTAATGAGTAATATCGTAAAACTTAACAAAAGTGTTTATAGCAATATACATTGGTTTCTTTTATTGTTTCTTATAACAGAGAGAGAAAGGAAGAAAAAGGGAGGGAGGGAGAGAGAAATAAACAACAGAGAGATCTTTTTGTGTTTACCATTATTTTTTCCATAGATAATAAATAAAATGAAATTTTAATGTCTTTATAAAACTTCTCTTTCCGATGGCGGAGAAGATTTGTAGCTCAGGTGGA